TGGATGCAGAAACAAACCAGTAACCAATGCAGCCCATGAAGCAGAGGTGTCACGTGTGTTCTACCAGAAGCATATATAACTGCTCGTGCCAATGCATTTTGTACCAGCTGAAGTTTCTGGCTAGTCTCCAAGGGCAGCCCCATGTAGAGCGCATTACAATGGTCCAGCTGGGAGGTGATCAGGTCATGAGTGATCATGAGTAGGGCCTCTTGATCTAGGAATGGGAACAACTGGCGCACAATATGAAGTTGTGCAAAGGCCCTCCTAGCCATGACTGCCGCCTGATCATCAAGCAGGTTTCATGAGTCCAGGAGGACCTCCAGATTGCACATGGGGTCTGTTTGGAGCAGTGCAACCCCATCTAGCACCAAAGATGACATAGTTCTAGAACCAGAGGGCCTCAAAACCCAAAGCCACTCAGTCTTGCCAGGGTTCACTTAAAGCCTGTTATTCCCTATCCAGACCTTCGCAGCATAAGACGTCCACAGCATCACTTAATTCACCAGGAACAGAGATGTACAATTGGGTATCATCAGGATACAGATGATACTTCACCCCATGGTGTCAGATGGTCTCACCCAGTGGTCTCATACTTCATGTAGATGTTGAATAGGAGAGGAGAGAGCACTGACCCCTGTGGCACCCCACACAGTAGGGGCTGAGGGCGGGATCTCTCCTCCCCAATAATCACCAACTGGAATTGACCCCGAAGAAAAAAGGTGAACCAGCACAATACTGTGCCACCCAACCCCAAACCTCTGAGTCGATCCAGAAGGATATCATGGTCGATGGTATTGAAAGCTGCCAAGAGATCAAGTAAGACAAGGATGTATGCACAGCCACCATCCCACTCACATCAGAGATCTTCCAAAAGCACGACCAATGCCATTTCCATTCCATACCCAGATCTGAATCCTGACTGAAAAGGATCCAGATAATTCACTTCATCCAAGGTCCTCTGATGCTGTTGGGCAACCACCTTCTTGATCACCTTCCTCAAAAAAGGGGGGTTGGATACTAGATGAAAGTTGTCCAGTATCGTGGGGTCCAGTGATGGCTTCTTGAGGAGCGGGTGCACCAAGACTTCCTTAAGTGGTAAAGGAACAATCCCCTTACTCAAAGAAGAATTCACCACCACTGGAACCCATTCATATGACACCCCCTGAGCTGCTTTCATAAGCCAGGAGGGGCATGGATCTAAGAAGCAGGTGGCTGAACTTACAGTCCTAAGGACCCTGTCCACTTCCTCAGGTCCAACAGTTCAAATTGTTCCCAGATAACCAGGCAAGACTCCATCCTACACTTCTCCCCAAGACCTGCAGCAAGGCCAGCATCCAACTGCGAGTGAATCCAAGTGATTTGGTCTGACAGAAACTGAGCAAATTCCTCCACACGTCCCTGCAAAAGGTTCCCTGGGCCCCCTTTACCCAAGAGGGCTCATGTCACCCAATACAGGGTGGCAATAAGGGTGGAGAAATACTGCTGCTTCACCACCCTTACTGCCACAAGGTAGGCCTTAATAGCAGCTCTAGCCCATATTTGGTCCAGTTCATCCTTAGTTGAGCACCAGCGGCATTCTAGATGTCTCTTCTCTCATTTCATCTTCCATAGCTCCTCTGTAAACCACGGGGAGTGGCAGGATCCCTGAGAGGGGAGAGGTTGCATAGATGCAATCCGATCTGATCCAAGGCTTCACCCACCTCTTTATTCTAAGCAGCAATCAAGGCTTTGGGTGGACCTTGCAGCAGACCAGCAGGAACAATCCCCAGCTCCCTCTGAAACCCTTCCCAGGTCCGTCAGTCACTGGGGGCGGACCAATCTAATGGGACTCGCCTCCCTACGGTGGATAGCGGCGCCAGAGAATCCCATGGCAATCAGGGCATGATCTGACCATGACAAGGGTGACACTGAAAGCCCCCCAGTTGCAGATCACATAGCCACTGCTCTCAGGAACACCAGATCTGGTGTGTGACCACTGTCCTGTATCAGGCTCTGGATGACCGGAGGAGCTCAGACAGGGAGACTGCTATGCTGCAGGGAGGCTGGTACAACAGCAACAATCGCAACTGATCCCTAGAGCCCAGCTTAATGAGCAGGGTCTCACATCTGGTGACCAGCAGGGCAGAGCCCCTGAAAGCCATAAGCAATTCTCGGATGACCATTGCCAAGCCACCACCCCTGCCCTGTGTTCTCAGCTGGTGCCACACTCAAAACCTGGATGGGCATATCTCCGAAAGGGCCACCCCCCTGTTCTGGGCCCAGCCAGGTCTCGGTAATACATGCCAAGTTGGTCCTTTCATAGTAGCTATAGTATTATTGTGTTGGTAAAATGTGATCTAGATAGTTTGTTGCCACAGCTAGGAACAAATCACATGATCCTTGTGAAACTGTACTAGAACTCAGATTTCCACTTTTAAATATGAACCATTTAAAACTTATTCAGGCATTAATTTACATATAATATCTAACCACTACAGTATTTTCTGGGTATATCTCTGCAGGCTTGACACCAGGTGATTCCTGCTGACTTCAGGGCTGCAGTGTAAGTTTTATTTACGGCAATAGAGAAGTGGTTTGCCTCTGAGCTGGCAAAAAAGTTTGCTGGCACAAATTCCATTGCTCTGACAGCCGAGTTCTTTTTTGCCTCAGTACCAAGACCAGCAAATGGCGCCGTCCTTACAATTTCACTGTGGGACAAGATAAGGAAAGTGATTCATGGTTTCTCCTGGTTTTATTTCCCTCCTAAGGAGTGTCCCTGCTGGTAGGATGGACAACCCCCAGTGGCTCTCACTTACCTGGGCTGGGCTGGGCTGGGCAGGGCAAGTAGAGGTGAGCTCAGCCATATGCCAAGTTGCCCAACTAATAAGTGAAAGATGCAGAAGCCGGGCATCCGGTCTAGTCTTCAGCCCAGGCCAAAAGGGCCGTGGAGGACACTGCTCAGGGAAGGGGCGTGTCTGCAACAGCCTAAAGAGGCCATTAGGAGCTGGGCAGCTCTTGGCCCTGGACTGCATGATTATGATTATATGATTATGATTATGATTATGATGATGGTTGGTCTCACAGTCAGCCAGACGTTTAGACTGGATTTGGCATTTCTATCCACCTATCGAGTCCTTTCCAAGGACCTGGGATAGGCAGATGTTGTTGTTTGATGGTGTGAAAGGTATCGTCGCAGGATGGAAGCTGTTGTTGTTGTTGTTGTTATTATTATTGCTATATTTTTATCCTGCCTTTTTAATATTTAATTCAAGGCGGTGAACATACCACATACTCCTGCCTCCTATTTTCCTCCCAACAACAACCCTGTGAGGTGGTTTGGGCTGAGAGAGAGTGACTGGTCCAAAGTCACCCAACCATTGCTAACCTCATCATTGATGAAGCCTTCTAGGGCCAGTGCAGGGCAGAAATTATGTCAGGAGAGAAGGGAAAACACTGCTTTAAAACTGCATCTGCTAAAGAAGATGTTAAGCTGCCTTACCTGTGGCCAGGGGTTGACCTAAAGCCCAAACAATGAGGGCATGTCCTTTGAAAAGGGCTACCGGGGCATGCTTGTGCTGCAGTTAGAAGGATGTGACCGTGAGCCGTTCAGTCTGATACCTGCGCTCACATCCAGGCAAAATGCACAGACTCCACTTAGCAGCGCCAAGAAACAGCAGTGTCCATAATTGTGATGATACTAACGTGGCATTCACACAATGATGTCCTCATGCAAATGCCATGATTATGTCCTTGCATTGCGATATCTGATGCAAGGACTTAAGTTGCAACATTGGTGTGGTGATGTCCCCCTCCCCTTGGTGATGTCCCCCTCCCCTTGGCCCTTAGCCCCCCTCTGCAGACACCCATGTTAAGAAATATTGGAAGATCTATTAATATGGGAACATAGTTACAGATTAGGGCAGGAATAAACTCAAAAATCAACATTTTAAATGTGAAATACAGAGTGGTAATTCTGGCCAGTGCAACTACCCTATCACGCAAGGACTGATAATAAACTGTGGCAACTACAAGTAAGCCTGCTTGATCCGATATAGTACACCTATATATAGAATAGTCATAATGTGCTTGGGGAACAACAGGAGGTGGCCTTCACGCCTTGCTGGCAATTTTTTCAGCGCCACTTTGAGAGTAGGGGATGGTGAACTAACGGCTTTAGCCCTGCATGAGTACTTGGCAGGATCGGTACGGCATCCTACCCAAAAATTAAGGAAAGCTAACAATCGCAAGCGTGTGTTTGTGTGTGGGGCGGGGAAGGGCGGGGGCTGTACTACCGCGAGAGTTAACGTATGGCCACAACCGTGAATTAAAGCAAAGCAGCAAAGTGACACGTGGTACTTTCAAAAACTTTTGAGCAGGGATGGCGGGAGGGGAGGAGGGGCTATGGTAAGAGTAGCGGTTTTTTACGAAAGCTACAGGGGCTTCATTTCCAAACTTTGTTTTTATGGGTTCAGGGGAAATCGCAGAACGCCAAATACCGGAACGCCTAAGACCGGAACTGCCACTTCCTCGGATCAACTCTCAGACTCGCTTCTACTTTCATTAACAAGTAGAAAGAAAGGAGGCGGTGTCGCACTTTCGTTTGTAGGAGTAAAACCTCAGAAGATTTGTCCTAGAAGTTTATTACACCAGTAAAAGTGTCTTTCTCCCTCTTTTTAATTCAGTTCTGTTGCAAAATCACGGGGGGGGGGGGGAAGGGAGGGGGAAGAAGACGAAATAAGGACGGACAGTGTTTCTGGTTTGTTCTCTCTCTCAATTTCTTTATCCTCCAACGTTGGTAAGCTGGAAGACTGAAGAGGAAGCAGGCTATTACATAAAGGTATCTTGAGAGTTTAAATGTCTTAAGATAGATAGAGTTTCTTGTCCAACTTTTCGATCTTCCGTTTTATTGCATCAGCTGATACATCGATTCTTTCCCATCTACATAATTTCTAACTTTCCACCCGACCCTCTGAACGGGGAAGAGTCTCAAGAACGAGGTTCCCAACTGCAGAGACCACTTTTGAAGCCGCGACAATATTCCTCTCCTTTCAATGAAGCTTCTTCCCTCTCCCCCTCCCCCAAGAATCCTCGGCTAAATCGTTTGTAATTTTTTAAAAATCTCCCTCTTTCAGCCGCTCCGGTTTAGCACGCCTCCCTGTTTATTTTCCAGCTCCGAGAGTGGTTGTCTTCCTGTTCCCCACCACCACCACCACCCTTTTTAATATTTTGCACGGTGCCAAGCTTGGGAGTTTTCGCATATTCGCCTCCCCTTTTCTGCAGCCTCCCTCCCCAGCCCCATCAGAGGAAATATTACAATGTTGCAAGCTGACGTAAGGACATTACAAGGAAAGGGCTACATTTCGGAGTGTTTATGAAAAGCTTCGGTACTGTACTGTCACCAGGGGGCATGCAATAGAATGCATTTCGTCCAACATTTGGGATAATGATCATTTAGAAACCACTACGACCAAAAACAAAAAGAAAAAGAAAAGAAAGAAAACGAGAAAAAGAGCGAGCGAGCGAGCTTCCAGTGAGCTTTGGAACCGGCGCCAGGCAGAGGAGCCATGCAGTCAAACTTTCGGGAACCCTTGGTTATTTTTTCTGACATTGCAGCTCGCCCTTGAGGATCGCTTACTGAATTCTCCGGATTTTGTTTTGCTTCTTTTTCTTCTCCCTCCACCTCTCCCGCCGTCTCCAGGCCCGGTTGATTTGCTTCCCTGTGGCAAAGGAGGAGAGAATCGAGCGAGCTCCCTAACAGCGAGGAAGCCGCAGCAAAACGCCCTGCCTGCTCGCTTCTCTCCGCTGCCTGCCTGGCTGGCTGGCTGGCTCGCTCTCCCACTCGGCTCGCTTGCCTTGGGATCCAGTGTTGTTTTGAAGGGAGCTAACATGGCGACGGTGCCCGTCTATTGCATCTGTAGGCTGCCCTACGACGTAACCCGCTTCATGATCGAGTGCGACGCCTGCAAGGACTGGTTTCACGGCAGGTAACACAAAGCGATCGGGCCTTCCCCCCACCCTCCGCTCTAGGGCAGAGATCCCCTTCCTATCGCTCGGGGCCTTTCGTCTCTTTCGCTCGCTAGGGCAGCCGCGAGAGCGAACGGGAGAGATGGTGGGTTCCTGGCTGCTGCTTCTGCTCTGTGCAGTTTTCCAACAGGCCTTTTTGGAGAAGAGGAGGAGGAGGAGCCACTCTCTCGTTTCCCTCTCTTGTATTTTTTGTGTGCGTGTGTGGTTTTGTTTTTGTTTCGTAAATTGTCGAGCCCGGGCATACACAATGGACTCCCCCCCCCTCCCGGGGCTCTGGTGTCAAGGGGCTGCGGGTAGTGGTGGTGGTGGAGAGAGCTATTGTCCTTTACTCGGGGAGGGAAGGAGGGAGGGCGGGCTGGCTGACTTGCTTGTGCTAAAGGGTGTTTCTCCCTTTTTTTGAAATTATTATTTTATTAGCTCCTGGTTTCTGGCCCGCTGCCTCACTGCCCCTCCCCCGATCGGGGTCTTATTGGGTGGATTCTGTGGGGAGGGTCAAGGAGAAGATTTAAGGTTAGATGCACCCCCCCTCACTTTCTCCAGAGAAGGCATGGAGAGAGCAGAGCCGTGGGCGGGGAGAGGTTAAGAAAAGCGGTTCCACAATGTCTGGCTAAGCGGGAAAAGCCAGCGAGCCAACCCCGGGAAGGATCCCTACGGAGCAAGCGGGAGCCGCTAGGACTCGGGCAGCGAAGGCGGCTTGTGGAGAGCCCGCGCTCCGGGCGGTCACTTGCCTCGCGCCTCCCGAGGGGAGGGGGCGACCGGGGGGTGTTTCCTCGCCTGCCGGGCGCACCGATTTGGCCAAGGGACGCGCGGGCCCCGAATGGCAGCGTGGAGAGAGGAAGCGAAGAGCCAGGGCGTCCCCGAGAGCAGCGGCCACAGGGCATTCCCCGCCGCGCAGGCTGCTGAAGCCTGGAGCTGACGCCACTTCGCCTCGGCTAGACTGTGGTGGGGAGCGAGCGAGTCCACTCCGCCAAGCAGTGGAACCAGAGCCCGCGGCCAGAGCTCACCCCGAAAGGTGGGCGGAGGAGAGCCCCGGAAAGGCGAGACCCCTTTCTGGGCTTCCTGAGGTAGCGCTCTCTGTGGAAGCCCCCCCAAATGTTGCCACGTCCGCCTCTGACACTTCCACGGCGCCCCTTTTTTCTTTCTTTTCACGAAATGAGATACAAGGGATGGCGTGGATTCTTTGACCCAGTCCCGGAGACGGCTGGGGCGGTTCATTCCCTGACGCTCCCCGGTCGAAGCTTCGGCTGCCGTCTCTCGGCGGCAAAGGCTGCTCTAATTCGCGTTGCCCACAGTCAGCAGTGGAATCTGAGACAATGTAACGCGCAGGGGCTGGAAACTCCCTCGGCCACACGCTCGTCCTCGCTTTTGATTAGTATTTGATTTGTACAGGAGGGGTCCCCGCCCCGCGCCTTTGTCAGGCTTTCTTGGTGCTTTAATTATCACTTCACCTCACCCGCGTCGCTCCGATTGCCTTGTTGCAGGGACTCTGGATATGATCTGACTATCAACCTGATCTTTGTGCCTCGCGGTGGCGGGGTTGTGTTGCATACGGAAGGCAGACGCGTCGCTCATTTAGAAAAAAATGGAGCTGCAGGAAGAAGCGGAAGGGACTTCAGCCGGATTTCCTAGGAGTTCAGTCTTAGGCAGCTTGCAAAATAGGTCTTGTGGAAACGGAGGCACCTCTGATGGAAATCGGTGACGCTGACGCGTATCGGGTCTGCTACCTGTGGGTACGGGCTGCCAAAATTAAGCCCCTGTGTGAGTCGCCGGGTCTGTTCTCGCGGCGGTCAGCAGGACTTTGTAGGACTTTGGTGTTGCTGTCCTGAGTGTGTTTAGGGCTTTAGCCGCGCATGGACGATGAGGTGTCTCTGATGAATCATCTTCCTGTGATTCGCTGCTGAACTTATTTGCAACTTGGTTTCTTGACAACAGCAGAGAAGGGATCAAAAAGCAGGTTGATATTCGGGAAACTCAGTTTCAAGGGCAAGGATGATTGCCTCCCCGCTGAGGAATAGACAAGGTAGCTTTAAAGTAACTAATGACAATGGTGTGATTGCTTTGGTGATGTTTGATGCTTTTACATTAATTTGTAGTAATTTGTTTATTTTGGGGTTTGTCCACCACTCTGGGTATTATGCATTGTGAAAGTCCATTATAAAAATAATAAAATCATTGTCAGCCAAAAACTGGGAAAATCATGTGATTGGTGGTTATAATTCAGTGTGCCTGATGCATAGAACAGCGTTTGCACTTGGTTCTTCAAAATCATCCAGCTTCAAAGAGTTGTGAGGATAAGTACTTGAATGCAATGGGAAACCATGAATACTGTCTTGACCTCTCTGGGGGAGAGGACAGTACTCACATGCACACACACACCATTGTTAGAAAGAGTTGCTGAGGAATTTAAAACAAAAACAACAAACCTCCAAAACGATTAAAACACATTCACTTGATGCTGAAGTAGTGAATCATTCTGTATACTATGAAAGACTTTCTAAAACTCTGATTGGTAATAAGATAACCCAGCTCAATTTTATGCAGAGTTTGGTGCATCATTAATTTCAGTAGACTAAGGCACTATTATTTCTGCTTTGAACCAAACTGTTTAAAATTAGTCTGAGATTAGGAACCAGACATAGGAGAGAGTAACCCCCCTCCCACAGACAAACAGATCGTGTCTTGAAAATATTAGCTGCACATATGTAAGGATTTGCACAACTACATATAATTCAAAGTATATGCTGCAGTTAAAAATATGGTGTTTGTTAGCCATAGTGATCTTTTTTGTCCTTTTTAAAATGAAATTTATTTCACTATAGTTTCCCTTTCTGCTATCTATGCATTGAAATTGCCAACAGCCAACTATTAAAAATACAGTAAGAACATGATTTTTTTAAAAAAATAACCCTACCTATAATATTCACAGAGAATAATCGCACAATTGTAACTTGAAAGCTTTAAACAGTGAAGCCAGTCTTGGGACATAGCTTGCTCACTCCTTAGTGTGTACATGATGCAGTATGTGATGCTATATATTTCTGAGGGCGAAGGATCACAAAGTTGGATAATACCTGCAGAACATTTAAGCATACATATGTATCTACACTACAGGAGAGAGAAAGAGAGATGAGTCATTACACTGTGAGTCCCACCTCCCAAAAGCTACTTTTTGCAATTTAAAAACAGCTGTTAAAACTTTTTTTGTTTAAAAGATGTGAAGAATGCATCTAAACAAGACTTTTGTAAAATAACGTTGGTGAGTAATTGACAACTGGGTAGGATTCAGAACAAATATTCAGGAAAATCATACATAATATTAAATAATGACAGCATTGGGTTGCCCTTACCATTTAAAAGACGAACCTCTCAAAAGAATACCCCATGTACCCAGGAAAGTGTAAGTTCAAATCTGAAAACAAAAAAAGATACTGCAATAAAGTTTTCCCACAGAAAACAGGGTGATTTTCATTAGCTGCTGTGATTAGAATTATATATCTATAAGAAAAACTGGCATATGACCAGTTTAACTGATAAATGAGAAACTTATTTGAAAGTGTCCTTAATTATACATTTCTAAAATGTGTTATCTTTATGATCTATAGGTAAATCCAGCATTATGTTTAGATTAATTCTGAAAGTACTGTTTTTAGTATGTATGTTATGAACCTTTTGTGGAGGATTGATGTTCCCTAGAAATATGTACTGGAAGTTTAAATCCTAATACATCTGCAGGCTACAAATTGGAGGAGGCTGATTTACTTCTTATATTGTTTCTGACTTTTCAGTTTTGTTGGCTATTTTACCCTGGCATAAGATCATTGTTTAGATTTTAAGTGTGGTACGTTCATTTCTGAAATAAATGCAGACCATCATGTTTTAATGGATTCTGCCCAGAATATTTAGCCAAGAATCATACAATTTTGGGAACTGTGGTCAGCTCTCAACACATCTGGAAAGCACTAAGCTACATCTTAAAATTAATTATGGGTGGATTCACATATCACACTAATGGTTTCTTTAGTTTTGGTTTAGCAAGATGTGTGTAGATTTAGCTACTGTTTACATATAGCTGGATTCTACATTTGTGTATTTGTACTCAATGGAAAATACTTTCCAGTTGAAGTTGATAGGATTGTGTCCTTAAATATAAATAAATATGATCACATCATAAGGTGTGGATCTGGTTTTTAAAATAAGATAATCTTAATGATGCAATTATTAGTGATACCACCATTAATTATTATATTCTTCATATAAAGTTTAAATCATTAATTACTATCCGGTGTCTTGATGTTCTAGATGGCAGGCAATTCAGACTATCTTAAATAGGAGGAGGCAGCCCCATTAAAAATTACTTTGGGGTAGCAGTAACATTGGACATTGTGGTTTGGGCACCTTTTATCAGCTTTAGCTAATATACCAACTATAAACTTACTTGAACAGAAGCCTAACTATAACTGCTCATCTTTAAGTATCTCTTGTTTGGATTATTGCAGTCCATTAACTACGTGGCTGCCTTTGACACTGTACAATAATTTCAGACAGCCCAAGTTAGGGTAGTAAGGTTATTGATTACAGACTGGGGTGAACTCTTCAGTCATATTATGCAAGTCTTTCATAGTCTTCACTGTTTTAACCATTTAAACTTGGGTCGATAACATGCTGCCCTTGGAGGTTGCTTAACTTCCAATGCATGTAGAGGTGGGAGTTACCATCAGATAATATCTGCATAGACACATGTCACCCATTGTCTACAGGGAAGGTAAGAGGAGCAAGTGATGTAATGTGTGTCATAATCTCATTGTGAAAATGGTATGAATTATATAATTTGCATCAGTTGCATCATGACATGACCAATATAAATTACATAATTTGTATTATTTGCACAATGAGATCATGATGCATGTGAAGCCATTGTGACTTGTGGCTTTTGTGTCTATCCCTGGGTAAAAAAACCTTAAAGCCCTCTAATGACCCTTCACAATCTTAAAGGTTCGGCCAGATGACGTGGGTTGTTGACAAAGAGAAGGCTTTTGCACTGATGGCATAGCCGTCTTTAGAAGCTATAACGGTATCATGCTTCAAAATGTCATGGTGCAAGTGAAGCAAATTATATAATTCAGATCATTTGTTCAGTGTCATGATACAGGTGATGTCACTTGCCCCATTCGCTCAGGATAGCCCTGGCTGTAAAATGACCACATCAGAGAGACTGCTGGTTTTTTTTTTTTTTTGGGGGGGGGTGCCTGTTAGATAAAGACAGTTTTTCTTTGACAAGCATTTAGTTATACTTTCTCATTTTATGTGTCATACTTTTATTTTCATTTCAATTGTATTTTTTTTTAGCTTTTTGTACTATGTTGTCTTGATATTCACTTATTAGCATTTTAGACTGGATATTACCTGATCTAGAAAAATATGTATTATTTATGAAAAATATTTCATATAACAAGAATGGGGAAAAGAATTTATTTAAACCCAACATTGAATTTCCTTCAGACAACAGTCTTTTATAAATTCTAATCAGTATAATTGAAGAGTAAAAATATTCAGGCTTTCAAAAGAACTAAAATACCTCGAACCATTCCAGTAAGATTTATGTAGTTTTACTTGTACATTGTTCAAAGTAATAGCATTCTCTCCTCTTGTTGAATGAGCTTGTTCAAAATGAAAAGCACCAGTTTCCTATAATTTTACAGCCTGTTTTCTAGAGCATTCAAAAGATACAATATGGCTTAAATAATTGAAACAAATAGAAATATAAAAAGCATTTTTGCTATGGAATTGTAATGGTATTTTGTAAATGAAATCCATGATGTTTGGAGGAGTTATAGGCCATGGACAAGAATGAAAAAATACACTAATGAGCTGCTGTTTCATGAAATATAGAAATATTGCTAATTTATCAATAGAACCTTTTAAAAAAATGAAGGGGTAAAGAATCAGTCCACTGCAACCGTCATTTAAGACAGAATGAATTTGGGCTAATGGGCATGTTTGGAGTTTTGAGAACTCAGTGCTATTGCAGAGTTCTAGTGGAGGGTGAGAGCTTTCTCATTCTACCCTTTTTCCCCACTCTGATGAGTACACTTTCAGGCAAAGCACTGAGTCGTAGTTCTTCATTTTATTTTATTATTATATTTTAAGTGTAAAAATTTGTTATGTAATTTGCTATACTGTTTTAATCTTGTTTTAAATATTAAATATTAAAATTACTTTTTAATTAATTAAAAATTAAAATTAAGTATTAAAAAAGTATTAAGAGAGCCAGTTTGGTGGACTGGTTAAGGTGTTGGCCTAAAAACCGTGAGAGTGAGTTCTAGGCCTCCCTTGGGCATGAAGCCCAGCTGGGTGACTTTGGGCCAGTCACTCTTTCTCAGCCCAGCCCAACCCACCTCACAGGGTAGTTGTGGGAAAAATAGGAGTCAGGAATATTCGCTCCCTTGAGTTGACCAAAATAGATATTAAAAAAGGCAGGATAAAAATCTAATAATAATAATCTGCCCAGAGTTGATTATTTGAGATGGGTGCCATAATATTGAATAAATAAATAGTCAGATTGTCACAGATCCAGGAAAATATCTGTGTACACTACTAAGGTTGGAGAACTTTTTTCAGCCTAAGGATCAAATCACAATGTGGAAATAGTCCTGAAAACATCAGTCTAATAGTAGATGTCATTAAAACCAAAGTGATAAAAATTGAAATATACTTAGAGTAAAGTGAGAAATACTGATTTTTTTTTTCAATTCTGTGCATGTTTATTGACAGGTGAGTAGAGAATCCAATCCTGCATGCATGGTTAGAATACCATCTCATCAGAATCATGTTCCTACCTGGAGGCCGTACTGAGAAGGACTTCAGAATCTCAACAGAAATAGTTGCGATAGCAAATACCCAGCAGAAACTGCCCCCAGGAAGTGCATAAACTTTTAGCAGATGTAACAAAATCTCCCCCCAAAATTAAAGGCTATTTACATGCAGTAATAATAGATTCTCAATGACAAATACACAAGCCTACAAGAAATATTTTAAAATTCCTCAAAACCAAGCCTGTGTTAGTATGCAATATTGTACTTCCTAGGTTTTGGGTAATAGTTTGAAAAGTAATATCTAGATTAAAACTCCTAGCTTCCATAGATTAGTGTGAGTAAGGGTAAAATTAGCCTTTGACTCTGCTCATGGTATGCTTGTCCTTTCTGTTAGTGTGGAATGATGCTTGTGGCACAGGGATTACTGTAGCTGGTAACCTAATCTATTCTCTGTCTTACTAAAAAGCATTATGTGAAAGTCTGATTTAGCAAAGCTGTGATGGGCAGCAGAGGTCAGGATCTGTGGACCCTTCTGGGGCATAGAAAATGGGGACTTGGAATGTGAATCCTGGAGAACTTTTATTTATCCTATCCTGAAGAAATTGCCTGGCAAAAAAGCATGACTTCTATTTGTCCCTTTACCTGGCTGACCACTGTTTGATTATATTCTATCTATCTATCTATCTATCTATCTATCTATCTATCTATCTATCTATCT